GCAATCCGAAAAACGCAGGCCCCCATTCGAGCCTCTCCGCACGTGGCTGACTCGGCGTGATTTACTTCACCGCTCGCAAACTTCAGTGTTCTTTGTGCAAAGCGGGTAATAGGACATACAATGAGGTTTAAAGCAAAACAATGCGGTGACTTCTCTAGGCAAATGGCTGATGGAGGAAAGGAACGGGAGCGATTGCACCTCCGCCCCCTGGTGGACCGTTAGGCCTAGCACATCGGCGGAGAAGCAAAGAGGGGCTGTGATTACAGGATGTGTCCTGGCCAGCGCGCACACACAGAACCTGCCTCTGCCAGATCCTCCCGCGGCAAACAGAGGTGACGGTGTACCGCTTCCCATCCTGTGCTCTCACACACAAAGCAGCCCACGAAACCTCCGGGTCTGGGGGTGCCCGGAAGCCAGATCCAAGATCTCCATTATCGAATGTCTATTAGCAAACCGGATGGTGGTGTCGCTGACTGCATGATCGCTGCAGAAATAAATAAATCTCTAACACAAGACAGCACTCAGAGCACCAATTAGAAGCCTCTCGGGGAAATGTTCCTCAAAATAGCCTTTCCTCTGATGCCATTTCCAACCCCGGCAACCCCTACACACGCACACTCCAGAATGCCTGCATGGGCATCTTTCCTTAACTTTCAAAATACCAGCTATGATCAAATCTATTAACATGTTTTTAAAAAATTGATCCCGACTATAGAAGGACCTAAAATCTCACGTGACATTCCGTCTGTCTTCCTTCCCCTTTCAGTGGATTGTGGATGGCCACTTTTAAGTTTCTCATCAGCTGGAGAAAGAGTTGGTGTCCCTCTCTCAAGAAGTGGGGTGAGACCAGGCATGGTGGCACACACCTGTAGTCCCAGCTACTCCAGAGGCTGAAGAGGGAGGGTGACTTGAGCGAGGAGTTCGAGACCAGCCTCGGCAGCACAGCAACCCCGTCTCAAAACCAGCAACAAGATGAGTAGGATAGGAAAGCCCCCGCCAGCCATTCAGTTTCCAAAACACATTGGTGGGCCAGGGATTTAGCTCAGCGGTTTGGTGGCCTGCTTCGCAAGTGCAAGGGCCCAAGTTTGATCTCCAGTACCAAAACAAAACAAATAAACAACAACAGCAAAAACATAAAACACATTGGCTTTTCTTCTTGGGTGTTTGTCTCAGGGTTAAAGCAGGTCACCTCCTCCCACAGGGCCTGACTCCATCCTCCAACTCAGAAGAGGAGGAAGAGAGAGGGCCCCTCTTCCCAGACACAGGCAGAGCCCTCCCATGGGGCCACCCTTCTCAGACGTCAGGCCATCTTATCCCTGGCCAGTCTGCGCCTGGGCACCATGTTCGGCCACCACCTTCTTAGTGACATTGCTATTTCTTGGGCTCTGAGGTTGGTCTGCACCAGCCTGCCAGACCCCAGCCAGTGGTGACTGTCCCCTTCTGGAAGAATTTACCTTCTGATCCGTTGAATGAATATCCACAGTGGCCCCAATCTTCCTAGCCTCTGAAGGCATTTTAGGAAAAGGCTTAGTCCCTAATGTATTATTAATGCATTACTTACCACTCAATTTATTATATATTTTAATGCCTCATAAATACACGGCCCTTAGGAATTTTCTAAGCAGGTTAAACTGTTATCGTTTCACTTAGTGAAGTGCTAAGGACACGGTATTAGCATCCTGTAATGGAGAGATAAAGGAGGAGCCGTGGTTCACCCAGGGTCACCAAATAGTCGGCTACAAAGCTAGGCTGGGTGGGAAAGATGAGGCCAGGGGCTTGGGGCAACATTAGAAAGAGGCAGATACTGAGAAGGTGGGTGACAACTCCTAGAGATGTTGTCAGTAAGGAGTCCTGCTGGCCAGGTGTCACCTGTCCTGGTGACAACCCCAGATGTAAACGCTAGCATGAGCCCCATCTGCCTCCTAGGATGGCTGCGTCTGTACTTAGGTGGGCACAGGCCACTTATGAGGTCCTTGAGGTCTCAGGGCTGGCACTGCACCTGGCATCAGGGACATGTTCCCTAGTGGATGTGAACTGTCCTCCAGCGTGTTCTGAAGGTTATGGCTATGCACATACTGTGGCTCACTGCCTCCATCTAGTGGCCACTTCTGAAAAAAAGCTGGAGCATGATCAGAGCTGAGTTTCCCAAGACAGGTAGCAGAGAGCTACCAGGCACACCCAGGCCACAGTCCATCCTCTGTCGAGGAACAAAAGATGCAAAACATCCACGACAGTCATTAAAAATACCTGTGCCCAGTCATTACTCGTGCATACCTGTTATCCCAGCACTGGGGAGAGAGGAAGGAGGAGGATCACAAGTCAAATTAATAAATACATGTGTGGCACACATCTGAAATCCCAACTCTGAGGGAGGCTGAGGCAGGAGGACCACAGATTTCAGTCCTCCCAAGGCAACTTAACAAAACACCATCTCAAAATTTAAAAAGTAAAAAGGTATGGAGATGTAGCTTACTGGTAGAGTACCTCTGGATTCAGTCCCCAGGACCACAAAATCAAATAAATACACGAGTGGACCTCATAGTAACACAGGGTCTGACTGAAACACAGAAGTCTAGGAAGCCAGCCAAGCATTATAGGGCATGGATTCTGTGGACAAGGACTCTGCAGAGACACACGAGGAGACCGGAAAAGCACATTTTGCAGTGCCTGCCCTCAGAAGAGCCTGCTTTTTTTTGTACCAGGGATGGAACTCAGGACTTTGCACTTGTGAGAAACTCAGGACTCCTCACTTGTGAGGCAGGCTGCAGAACCACAGAGCTAATCCCCAGCCCCAGTACACAGCACATAGTGGGAGCAGCAGAGGTCTGGGGTCCCCAAAGGACATTTGATCCTCCCAGAAGCAGAGTATCTCTGGAGAAAGAAGTTGGACAAAACCTATAAGATTTTGTCTTGTTCCTGATGCAACATACCTAGACCTTCTAGTTGAAATACTTTCTTGAAAAAGTGCAGAGGATGCATTGCTGAGCATATATGAAAACAAATTTTACAAGGACTGAGAAAAGGCATTGAAATGTGAGACACTATAGAAAAATCACCAAGCAGATTGGAGTATAAATGAGATCATTTCTGTAAAAAGCTAAATATGTGCCTACTCACATTAAAAACTCAATGGATAAGCTTTACACACCAGGGTGAACGTGGCTGAAAATAATTGAATTGGAAATTCTAAGGAACCTTGCTACAATGTAGCCTTGAGAGATAAAAGGTTGCAAAATAAAACCAGAGAAAAAACAATTCTGTAGCCACAGATCCAGAAGGAGAGACTAGAGAAGCAGGTGAGACCACAAGGCTGCAGCTATAGCCTTTCTGGACCTGGTGGATCACGCAAGTCTTACTAGTCAGGAAGCACAGGGCCTACAAAGGATACATAAAAGCAAATCAACACCTCATGCTTCATGGCAAATTACAGGACATCAAAGACAGGCAAGACTTTTAGAACTCTAGAATATCTGTTCAAACTGTTGAGACAGCTAACAAGTTATCAATCAAGAGTGAAGGTATAATAAAGACATTTTCTCACAGTGTCCTAATAACCTCTGGGGAAGTCCGACAAAGAATGATGTTAGGAGAGAAACTGAACGCAGAACCAGGATCATCAGTGCAAAATGAAATAATGAATAAACTCTGGATAAATCTAAACAGGCACTGACAGCATAAAAAATAGCGGTAAATAAGGTAAGAAAGTATCAAAGCAGGTTGGGATTAAAATACTCAGCGTCACAAGAGGTAAGAAGCACAGGGCTTCTAAAGCTCTCATACTGTCTGCCACAAGGCTAGAGATGTTGATTACATTTAGGTTTAGCAATGTCACATACACACGTTCACCCAACGACTTCTAAACAGAGGAAAATGTAATATGTAATTTCCAAACCTGCAAAGAAGATAAAATACAAATCTGAAAACCCTAAAAGCTTCTGGTTAAACAGGGCAGATTGAACCAGCATTTTATCTCAGCTTCCTTCTTCCGCCACTCTAAAAACACTAGTGATGTCAGTTAGCAAGGTTGCAGGATAAAAGGCCAATATTTTGTAAATTGATTAAATTTCTACATACTAGCCACAACTGTAGATTAGAATTTTTAAAGTGCTATTTAGAATAGCATCCTAAAATAGGAATTTGTAAAAATACAGCTGATGAAAGAGGTGCAAGAAATCAGCAAAACACTGCTGAGATAAATTTTGCAATTATTTTTTCAAAATACATGTTCATTAGTGCATATTAATTTTACTAAATACTGGGTTTCACTGTGGCATTTTCATACATATTTTGATCATATCCATCCTCCTGTTGTCCTCTTCTGCCCCCTCCCATTCCATTTTATTGCCTTCCTTTTATCTAATAGTCTCTCTTCTAGCCAAGACACACTTTAAAAGACCAAAATTAATGGACTCTGTACCTCATTCAAAAACTCATCTGTGGGTTCAACACCATGCCAGTTAAAGCCCTATCAGATTTTTGTGTAAAATTGGCTCCTTAAAATTCATAAAGAGGGCGGGATCTTAGCTTAGCGGTACTACACCTACCTGGCAAGAGCAAAATCCTAAGTTTGATTCTCAGTACCAGAAAAAAAAATTCTTAAAGAAATGCAAATGGCCTAGAACAACTAAAACCATTTTTAAAAAGAACAAAATTGGGGGGTCTAACACTACCTGATTAAAGATGCGTTATAAAGCTAACAATAGCAGACAAGCTCTGTAGTGTGGCCAGGCATTTAGCTCAGTGGCGCTGTTCCTGCCTTGCAAGCGCAAGGTCCTGAGTTCAAGCCCCAGTACCAAAGAGAAAAGAAAAGAAACGTAGTGCGGTATGGATATGAAAAGAACAGGTGTCTAGAGCAGAATCCAGGAACAGGCCCACATATGCGGACAACCGACATCTCCGTCGAAGTACAAAAGCCATTCAATGGAGAAAGGATAGTCTTTTCGACAACAGTGACAGAATTCATGGATATCACAAGCGAAACAGCGAGCTTCCATACGTACCTTACCAATGAAGCAGAGTAGGAAACGCTACCCAAGCCTTTCGGAGTCCCCATCTCGGGGCCGCAACCTGTCCTGAGCGTTAAGACACAGAGCTGCAGGATTTAATGTATGCCCTTCCGGGTTTCTGTCTTGTTTTGGTCCCATTCCTTTCTCTCCCTCTACTCCTCCCTTTTGGAATGAGAATGTTTAACTTTCCTTTTGATATTTACAAGGGCTCACAGCTAAGAGTTTGCCTTAAGTCACCGGGGAGACTTTGGACTTCGATCTTTCAGCAATGCTGAAACTGTTAGGACTTTGGCAACTCTTAGAGATGGACAAAATGCACTGTGCTTTAAGGGATGTGCAGGAGTCTTTCGGACAGCAAGGATGGGATGTTACCGAGTATATCTGGATGTCTCCTAGGAGCCTCATTTACTTTTGGAGGGAGACTGGATTATGAGGCAGATAAACTGACTCACTGTTAGGAGGTGGGGTCTGGTCAGAGGGGCGGGTCATGGGCGTGGCTGGCAGTAGTTCCTTCCTTCTCCAGCTCCTCCCCTTGACGTTGGCCCTGAAGTGAGCAGTCCTGACTCCATTATGACCTGTGCCATGCCGCCCTGCCTTGGAACCAGCTGACTCTGGACTGAAACTCCTCCTTTAAACTGTGGCTGTTGGTAGGGCCGGGGATTTAGCTCAGTGGTTCCGCCGCCTGCCTCGCAAGCGCAAGGTCCCGAGTACGATCTCCGGTACCAAAAAAAAAAAACAAAAACAAAAAACTGTGGCTGTTGGCTTACAGAAAGTGACTCAGATAAACACCTTTTCGTCCACCATGTCCCTCTGCTGTGCTGTTTCTGCCTTGGAGTCAGCTGACCATGGACTGAAATCCTGAGCCAGAATAAACCTCTCCTCAAGTCCCAAGTGTTGCGTGTTTTGCTCCAGTGACTGAGACAGATGGTTCCATTATACAGTTTATTTTTTTAATACTCATATTCTTTCTTTCTCTCTTTCTTTTTCTTTCTTTTTTGCAGGCGGTGGCACCACTGAGCTAAATCCCTGCCTTCAATGTCCAGTCTAAATATGTGTAGTTCGTGGTATGTCAATTATATCACAATACTGTTGTTTTTAAAACTGAAATGATATCAACAGCTTTCAGTTAGAAACGTTACCACATTTGTTTTTTGCTTATATTGTCTTTGCGCATTTCTTGTTTTATTAGGAGTAGGAATGCACACAACTAAAAAGCCCATATCTCCCAACCTCACTAGGAGGTTCTTGTAGACATAGTTCGTGTTCTAGCCAATGAAATGTGAACAGAATTGTCATGTGATATTTCTGGTGAGTCTTCCAAACAGGAATAAGGCTTGCCTTTCTTCTCTTCCTCTTGCTTAGAATGAAGAGCTGTTGACTGGAGCTCCAGCAGCCTTTTTTGGACCATGAAGTGCTTTTGAAAATATAAACCAAGTGTTGAGGATAGATGCCTAGAAGCCTGAGTCCCTGATGACAAACAAACTCACTGTTGGCCCTGAACTTCCAAACCTCAGACTTCTTTTATGAGGAAAATAAATTTCTATCCTGCTTAAACCAGTGATTTGGGATCTTTGTTAGTTTATATTTCTATTATAGGTAGCTGAACTGAATCCTAACTGGCCTCCTGCAGTGATGCTCACTGTGATGTTACTGGTAAGACGTGGGGACGGCCAGGCCCTGTCACAAACCACACAGTGTCCGGAAGTCAGTTGAGGAACAGTCTTTGTGCTTCTTGCTGGTCCCTGACACTGCCTCCAGCTGGGCTGACGCCGACTTTGACTTTTTGGATCCTGCCGTTTTCCTGTTAGCATCTTTTCTCACCTCCCTGTTGGCTCTGCCTTTCCTTGCAAAAACTCTGGTCTGAACTGAACTGGATCAACTCTCAATACCATGTTAGCCTAGTTGCACTTTACACTGAAAATAAATGGCACCCTTCACATCTTTGCTTTTCTTTTTAGAACATGTTCGCACTGCGTGATTGCACTTACCACAGGGAGTCAGTACATAATATATGATAATCTTAATTCCTTTTGTCCCGTGCCTCTCTGCTCACTCCGTCATTTCAAAACAAAGAGGACGGGCCGAGGAGAGCGGCCTGCCAGCCTCCTAAGGAATCTAGAGTATGACGAAGCCTGTGTCTGTCCTCTGAATGTTTGTCCAGCACGTGCTCTGGAGCAGGTTCTTTGCCAGGCCAAGCGTTGGGTCACTAGAAGGAGCAGACATACTCGCAGCTCTCAAGGAGCCGCCAATCTAGTCACATAGTGATCATGCATCTTGACTGGCTTGAGAAATGCTTCAGGAAATTAGAAAAGCACATCTCCGGTGTGTCTGTGGGTGATGTTAGACAGGACTGGATCACAAGGGCTCCAACTTCACGATCCACTGGTGGGATCAGGATGTGGGGGCACTACTGGGCGTTGACAGCAATAGGAGGGGGGCCTTGTTGAGGGGAGTGGAGCAGGGCGACGCAGACTTAGGCACTGTATCTGGCCCCCAGCTGCTTCCTCTCTGGCTCGTCTCTGCTTCCTGGCTTCCATGAGGTGAGCCGCTTTCCTCCCCCAAGTCCCCTGCTATGATGTTCCTGCCTCCCTTCAGGCCTAAGCAATGCAGTCAACTGACGAGGGACTGAAACCATGAGCCAAAATAAATGTTTCCTCCTCTAAGCTGTTTCTCTCAGGTGTTTTGTTACAGTGACAAGAAGCAGACCAGTTACACACATAGTGCCAGGGAAAAGCAAGATGGCCACCATGCCGCATCTGAGACAGACACCGATGACAAAGGACAACTCCCTGGTGTCTTCCTTCATCCACGTGTAGGTAAGAGCCAGCGGATTCTGGTATTTCCTCCACTTTTCCTTATGAGGTAAGAGATTAGGGCTGGGCAAACTAAACAATCAACTGAGCAGAATGTATTTTATAATTCACAGAAATCTAGGCAGGGCTCACCAGTCCATTGAAGAAAAAGGAGAAACATTTGCCACACACTCAACCCAAAACGGAACCAAGCAGAAGATGCTATTCCCACCCTGTCATTTACATATAAGCATGATGAATCAAAAGAGACTAGGGCTGGGGATTTAGCCCAGTGGTTCCACCACCTACTTCACACAAGTTCAAGGTCCCGAGTTCGATCCCTGGTACAAAAGCAGGGAGGGCAGAGATTTAGCTCAGTGGTGCACCGCCACCTGCCTCACTAGCCCAAGGTCCTGAGTTGGATCCCAGTACAGAGAGAGAGAGAGAGAGAGAGAGAGAGACTGACTATTCCTGACCCTCCTTCTACATCTGGTGAGAAGACAAATGAATTTTTCCATAGGAAAATTTAAATCTGGTGTGAAGCCAATGAGCTTTTGATAAAACCGTTGTCCCATTGCCTTTTCTGTATGAGGTGGAGGCCAATCCAGGGATTTGGGGTACTAAAGGCCTCTTTCCCTCTACCCTTGGGGCTGCCCTGGACCTTCTTCACCAGCCTACTCTCACCCTGTAGAGCGTGCGTCTTTCTGCCCTCAAAAAAATCTACGTCCCCACTACCCTTTCTGAGTTTTGTCCAGTTCTTGGTTCAGGAGACCTAGAGAGAAGCCCCCAGGGCCCGCGCCCACTAACACTGGGATCACCGATAATCTCTGCCTTCCATTTCTTATTTATCCCCTTTGGCTTCTGTGGGATAGTCCGATTTTTAATGTGCCCTACCCTGAACTTCTCAGAAAGAGACCCACTTTGTCCTCATTCGGCATGTTTGTTCTCTGTGTGGCGAGATGACCCAGTCCTCATCCCTCAAGCCCCTTCCACTCCAGGTCCCCTTCTCTTCTGCTTTTGTAGTCATTCACCCAGCTTCAGGTTTAACTACCTGTTGGTGGGGCCCAGGGCTGGGCTTCTCCTAAGGAGTCAGGCCTTCCTTCAGCCTCAGGGCTGAGAAGACAAACCATTTACTGTGGAGCAGTACAATGGCAAAACTCCATTAGACCGGTGCTGCCCAAAACTCTGCTCTCTGGCTGGGCAGCCATGACCTTGGGAGAGTCCCCTCCTCACCTCGCCTAGCCCCAGAATCCCCTTAGTACACAGAGGACATTCATCTGGGACCCTTGCCCAGCCCTGCACAAGATAAATCTAACTGTAACGACCCACTGTGCTGCCCAGGGAGCCACCAACCATGTGGCCATGGAGCTCTTGACATGTGGCCCAGCCCAAACTGAGCTGTGCTGTGAGCGCAAAGCAGATGTCAAAGTCTCTGCAGAAACCACAAAGAAAGAAAAAAGAATGATCATTATGCTGGTTATATGATAAAATAATAATAGTATTGTGAAGATATAAATAAAAATATGTTAAAGTTAATTTTACCTGCTTTTTATCATTTCATGCTAAATTACATTTGTGGTCTTGTTTCCCCTGGCCAGGCTAGGACAGCTGTCTCGAAAGAAACCCAGCACCACTGCAGCTCCCGAGACACACAGTAAAGGGGACACCTCCACTCTACCTGCTGACTGAATCTTGTTACTTGATGTATCAAACAAGTGACACATATATTGCAGATTTGTACTTAGATTTTGGTACCTGTATTTAATATGTTTCCTTTGGGTGTTGCTTCATACATGCAAAAATATTATCCTGAGGTGTCCTGTAGATTAGAGAAGTCTGAGGCACCACAAATCAACAACAAACGATTAAAAATGAGAACCATCAGGCACATTCATCAGCCAGGGTGCTGGTGACTCCGAGTGTTGGGGGCCCCTGGGCCTCAGAGGGGCTCCCTCCTGAAGACACCCAGTGCCCCTCAGCAGTCTGACTCTCGGGGTGCCTCTGTAGAATGGGGGACATAATATCTGACTCTTGTTTTGACTTTTGACATTTTGAGGTCCTAAAACACACACCATTAAATGCGAGGACCCATTTTAAATTACTAAGCAGTATGTATGACATAGTCCATCCAGGCACCCAATTTCCCCAGGGGATCAGAGGCTCAGCGCCTCAGAGAAACCCACAGACCTGTCCGTGCCTCAAGATGTCCACTGTGGTTCTGCTAAGGCTCCCGTGGCAGCGGCTGAGCTGAGGTTCACCTGGGACAGGATCTAGGGTCTACTAAGGAATCTCTCTAGGGATCCTTCCCTAAATCACCCAGCCCCTCCCAGATCCCCCACAACTCAGCCTCGCCCACAGCCTAGCACTCGAAGCACACTGGGGGCACAGTCGCAGCAACTCCAATGCCCCGGCACAGGCCGACCACTCAGCCTTCACCCACTATCCAATGCTCCAGGTGAAGGAGGGGTGGGGTCAGGGTCAGCCCGAGGTTCCAGGCGTGGACACCAAAGGCCTGCTGAGATGCTGCACTCACTGCTGAGGGCAGAAGCCAAGTTTTACTCTTTAGTCTGTTCAGATCCCCAGCTGTAGCCCTGACCTAAGCCATCACCACCACCACAGAGCCCATCAGTAAGATCCCGACCCAGGTGCTCTGCCTCTGGGCCATTTCCTTAGGTGTGGAATGAGGAGCTTGGGCTACCATGGCTTCCAAGAAAACCACGTGAATCATCAAGGAAGGGGTGAGGTGAGCAGCTCCAGATCCCCTTGCCAGCTTGAACCACGTGGTTTTGCATTTCTGCTTTGACAGTGAGACTCCAGGCAAGATTACACGCAGAGCTCCGTGACTGAGACGCGTCTGAAGGTCCCTGGACTCGATGACTTCCTATTGAGTTCTGGCAGACCGCCCGAGAACTTCCTCAGGGAAATCACAGCACACATATGGAAGCCTCCTTTCCAGACTCCACCCAGGCTGGAGGAGCCTTAAACCACACGACACATTCCTGGGAGAAATGGGATTCCTGGCCCTGAGAACACCACAGACGCTGAAAGTGATTAAAATACAAGCTTCCTTATTGTACTTCTGCTAGAAAGTAGCTATCTGCTAGAAAAGGATTTCCTCCCTAGAATTCCCAGGAAAGGATCTCTGTAGTGTTTGCAGTAAGACCCCATTAAAATGGCAACTTGTGAAACCACCTGGGTTTTAGCCATAGAGAAATTAAGAGGGTCAACCACTACCTACTCTGTTGGAGCCTGTAATATTTCTGAGAGGGCGGGATAAAAATCACATCTGAGTAGCTTTAAGACTTGTAAGGGCTCTCTGGCAACTCTTTTAGTGTAGTAGCTAGACAGCCAAATCTTAGTCCAGCAACCCAAAGGCAACCTTCCTGCTGCAATCTGAACCTCACCACTAGGCGACAGACACGCACTAGGCCATCTTGAGAGAGCACATCCTCAAAATTGTTTTGAGTTCAGCCAGTTTCATACTTGCTAAAACTGGAGGATGCCCACATTCCTCACATCTTGCAGGGACCGTTTTAAGGCTGAAGAGAAAGTGCGACAAAGGCTGCGAAGGTTGCCCGTGACTATTTACAATAAAGGAGAAATCTCAGGGACAGAAGACGGGACTGATGAGAAAGAACCTTGGAACGAACACCCTCCGCTGTGCGGCAGATTCCTGGACATGCAAGCTATTTGGGCAGACGCACCCTGATTTTCCGTGGACCTGGACAGTCAGCAGTCAATGAGCTTTGTATTGAACCCCACTGCTGCGGTCACCCTGTGTCCAGCCCAGACAGACCTGAGGGTAAACCATGGACTCAGCTATGGGAAGAACTTGCATAAGGCACAATTTTGTGTCCCTCTGCCTTTACCTCCTTTTCAGCGAGACCAAATGCACAGGCTTAGTCGTAGCTCAAATTGATTCCTTTGTCTATTTAGCTTCCTGTAGCTCATAGTATATTGAAAAAATATAAGCATCCATGTTAAGATCTAACAAGTGTTTTTTTTCATTCTGGGTATAGAAAATCACCCCCCGCCTTATTGCTGGGGTTTGAACATAGGGCCCCTTCCTACATGCTAGGCCAGCACTCTTCCACTGAAGCACCACCCTCACCCAGAAACAAGTGACCTTACTAAACTCTGCTGCAGTGGCAGGGGGCATGGGGGATAAGTAAAGTATGTTACGTGCACGCACAAATTTGGCAAAACGAAATGTGTTCATCTGTACAAGCAACATGGGGAGGGGAAAAAATCCCAGAAACCTAAATATCTCCAACATCCAGGGATAGAAATTCATCTCCCTGGTTCCCTGCTCTCACAGCAACCAATCCCCTACTTCCCAAGTCTCTTTCTCTAGAGGATTGTTGAGTTCAGGCCCAGCCTGGGCAACTTAGTGAGACCTTGTCTCAAAAGAAAATATTCCAGGGCTGGGGATGTAAGTCAGTGTGAAGAACCTGGGATCAACTCCAAGTAACACAAAAACTATAATAAAGGCCGCTACGTAGACCCACAGCACGCTGTGACCAAGGTGGGAACAAAAAAGCAAACCCGGTCAGGGCATCCCTGACCAGCACCCCACCACCACCATCAAGGACAGCAAACCAGGCCTCAGGCCCAGAGTGGTCCTGGTGGGAGGACAGGGAGCAGAGGAGGCCAGGACACAACTGAGCAACGGCTCGCATGACTGTCCAGGGGCAAGTCCTGCATTCATGACCCTCACTGACAGTAAGCTTGATGGCATCAGCTCCAGGGGCACCTAAGTGTCACCTAAAACAGCAGCCTGCTGAGGGTGCGTCCTGTTAAGATCTGCTCAGTTCCTAGCCAGGTAGCATGAGTCACAGGGAAACAAGCGGCGGCTGGAAAGAGCTGTGCTCATCTCCATGGGTCAACAGGGAACTGGTAGGCAGTGAAAGTTGACAGGAGCCGAGAAAGAGCCAGGGCAGGCTAGTGCACTGCAGTGAGAAAGACACAGAGTCCTGGGTGGAGGGAGACCCGAGGCTTTTAAAAACAAGAAACAGAGCCAGGGATTTAGCTCTGTGGTGTCATACCTGCCTGGCAAGCACAGGGTCCTGAGTTTGAGTCCCAGTACCAAAAAAAAA